TATATATATATATATATATATATATATTTATATAGGATTACTTTTTTCTAGCGTTGTAAGTCCGCAGACATACCACTGTGTCACTGGGGGGGGGGGGAGATATTCAGAAAGACATGCCGGTTATATTTTGCCTTGTAGGTAATTCCCCGTGTTAACAGAAGTAACACATTCATCCTTACCTCAAATGTGAATGATGTCGTTGAAGTAAACTCCACATCCAATTTTCTACACAAAGCTACTCATCGCATAAGACTACTCTTCAATTGAAGTCCAAAACAAAATAAAATTGTTACTGGTCTAGACTACTGCATTGTGCCAATGGTGTGGCATGAGTAGTCACCACCTTTACTATTTTAATTGAAAGTATTGTTAACGAAGAATCTGCCAGTATTCCGTGTAGGACCTAGTACATACTATAGTCACCGAGATGCTATTAAGTAGATACAAAATTGATAAGTAAGTCTTAACTTTAACTTAGCCAATACCCGCCTAAATTAGGGTAACTCGTTTCTTAAACATCAGTCCCTCAGCAAGCTCGAAAGTTTAGAATGCTAAAAACCGGGTTTTGACACTCGTGGTGAGCACAGTACAGATAGCCCACTGCATAACTTTTGCGAGACAACACATAAACAAGTCTCCATATGCTACGTGTTCTTGTAAGACACTTTATTTAGTTGTGGCCATCTCATTAAGATCCAATGAATGGAGCAACACTGGCAGTGAGAGTAAATTAGGTGAACTTGGTACATCATGAACTAATAAAATACAGTTGGAAAACAAAACAAGCTGCTCTAATAAAACGACAAAACCGGTGCAACGACGGTGATGAGAATAAAATAAACTTGTTCACATCATAAACAAATAAAATGAGCTGTTTTTAATGAAGAGACAAAAGCTTTATAACTACAGTGACTTTCATTTTCTCATAGTTCACCGAACTACGTTTTTAGTCAAGAGAGAAGTTACTGACGAAGCCCTGTCTTAAAAAAAAAATCCGTCATCCATTACTATTTGCCCCCTAGTGGCTCAGCGATGAATCTGAAAGCTTATAATGACAAAACCCGGGTTTTGATACCAGTGATGGGTACAGAACAGATAACCCATTGTGTATGTGCTTAACAATAAACGAACAAACCGTTACTTTTCAATTTAAAATCTCTTTTTAAAAGCTGTTTATTATTAACTCACTTTTTGACTTGCATTAATGTTTGCTCCACTCTTAATTAGGAGTTCAGCACTCTTCTCACCACTTGGTATCGTAGCCGCCAGGTGGAGAGGTGTTGCTCCATTCTGTTACAAAGAATCGTGACTTCAAATAAACTCTTTTACTTACCCTAATCTATCAATTTACTAAGCATGAGTTTTAGTTTCAAAACGTTAAAAATGGAGATGATGCTATAGAGACGCCTTAATGTGCATTTTTTTTCTGCCACAAAACCAACTATATCTGTTTTCTGATGATAATTATAAGTTAAACAATAATTAAGGTTAAAGTTGATAAAACAAATGATCCGATTTTACCACATACTAAATAATATGGAGTATTTAACAATTACAAAAGGATTCCACATTTCAGTATAAATGTGTGTAGTGTCTTTTCTTTATGAAAGATTAGAAATGGATTTATCGATTTGGACTAAAGAAATGTAGAACCTTAACTGAAAGTACTAAATTCAAATAATGACAAAGTATATTCCAAAACATTTCAAGTATTTTTATTCAAAGTGTAAGAATGAGAATACTATTATCAAATTTCTATCAAAATTAAGAAAACTATGATTTTTTTTCAGTACTAACATTCTCATGTTCATTTGAAATCCTTTACAAAAATCATGAAATTCTGTAACATAATCATGAAACTTTCCTTTCATTCTCCATCAAGTAACCCTGATACCCACCTTTCATGCTCTGTCATATAACCATGATTTCTGTAATCCTCATACCCACCTTTCATGCTCAGTCACATAATCTTCATACGTACGTTTCATGTTACTTCACTTTTATATGACGAACAATAAAAAGGTAAGTACCATGATTATATGATGAAGTATGAAGGGAAGGTGTAAGGCTTACATGACGAAACATGAAAGTAAGTATGAGGATTATGTGACGGAACATGAAAGATAGTCATGAAGATTACGTGGCGGAACATGACAGGTAGATATAAGAATTCCATGATACCTACTTCTCACACTCCTCCATATAACCATGAAATCTACCTTTTATCTTTCACCATATCAATTTGACACCTATCCTTCATACACCATAGTTTAATCAGGATGACTACTTTCATGCTGGCCCGAAACTTCATTAATGGCACAATGCTCATATTCGCATATATTTAACACCTACCTTTCCAGCAGAAAGATTAACGTTTGCTCCGTGACCCAGTAAAGTTTCTAAAACCTCCCATTTTCCTGCCTGTATAGCGATGTGCAGAGCCGTTAAGTTATCCTAATAATAATACCAAAAATATAATGTTAAATCTTTCTGCCTGTATAACGATGTGTAGAGTCATCAAATTATCCTAATTACAGCAATACAAAAATACAATGTTAACTCTTTCTGCCTGTATAACGATGTGTAGAGCCGTTAAGTTATCCTTATAATAATACAAAAAATACAATGTTAACTCTTTCTGCCTATACAGCAGTGTAGAGCCGTTAAGTTATCCTTATAATAATACAAAAAATACAATGTTAAGTTTTTCTGCCTTTATAGCGATGTGTAGAGCCGTCAAATTATCCTAATTATAATAATACAATGTCAAGTCTTTCTGCTTGTATAACAATGTGTAGAGCCATTAAATTATCCTAATAATAATACAACAAATACAACGTTAAGTCTTTCTGCCTGTATAATACTGTAGAGCAGTCAAATTATCCTAACAATAATAATAATAATACAAGAAATAGAGAATCCTCAATAGCCGCGACACTTGGAATTCTTATAGGCAGGATTGGTGTAAATTAATATAAAAGACCTTTTCTTTTCCTTTTTATTAGCTACATTTTTGTGCGCCAGCAATACCAAGCGTGGGGCGCGCGTGTACCCGATTCAATTTTATTACTCACCAGGATCTCTACCACCCTACTCACAAATTGAAATCCTTTTAGGCAGGATTAGAGTAAATTCATCTATGAGATCTTGGACGTGTTCAAATACATCAATGAGAAAGGTTTGACCTCCTGAGTCAAAAACTGTAGTTAGATCTCCAATAGGTCAAGGAATGACGGGGCTATGAGCTAAATGTTTGTAGAGCAGTTAAGTTATCCTAATAATAATACCAAAAATATAATGTTAAGTCTTTCTGCCTGAATAACAATGTGTAAAGCCGTTAAATATTTTTACTAAGCAAATTATGTTGAAAATTGTCACAAGATATTATTTAGAACGTGTTTTATTATCAAATAATAGCAAGAAGATTGACCATGCAGTAGATTTTCCACAATAAATGTCACCGAGATTACAAATCGTTATTTGTTAATTTACTATAAAAACGGAGAGTCTCTATTCTTTGGCCCACGCAATCATTCGTGAATAATACATAAATAAACAACTGGGATCAATCACCACCGTAAGCCGCACTATAACACTTTATAAGTTACATAAAAATCAATTTATTTTCAATTTTAATGTAGATTCTATTCAATCGCTAACGCAAAGCTTCAGGATTCCTTTCTTCTCTTCGCTATCTCCAAATGATTTATGGTGTATTTTTCAAACATTATCTGGTAAATTTCTCTTTAGCTGTCTCCAGAATGTTTACAATGTATTTACAATAACTATAAAGTCGTGTTTTACAAAAACTATAAAGTAATGTTTCTCTTTAGTTGTTTCCCGAACATTTACAGTGTATTTACAAAGACTATAAGGTAGGGTTTCTCTTTATCTGTCTCCCGAATATTTACAGTGTATTTACAAAAACTATAAAGTAATGTTTCTCTTTAGCTGCCCCCCGAATGTTTACAATGTATTTACAAAAACTATAAAGTCGTGTTTTTCTTTAGCTGACTCCCGAATGTTTACAGTGTATTCACAAAAACTATAAAGTAGTGTTTCT